TGAAACAAATGTGTGTTCTGCTGTTTCGTGAATCTGCTAGACGTCCATTACATGCTGCGGGCTAATGGTGATGCAGAGTTCTGTAATCTTGCTGATTTTCTGCTTCTTTATTCTTCCGAGAGATGAAAGGGCTATTGAAATCGGCTGTGGGACTGGCGGGTGACAAAGATTTGTCCTGACTGTGGGCAAGGCGGGAAAACTCTAGCTACAGCACTATCATAATCCCTAACTACATTCTAAATATGTATCCTATACCCACAGGTCAGTGCAGTTCTCTTGCCTCTTTGAGGGATCTTTACAAAAGACAGAGACCACGACAGAACACCACACTGATCAAAAGGCAGAAATGTAGAGCCCGGTCCCAACTCTACATCAGCAACACAACCCCTGCACCTAAGGCTCAGACATCATGGAAGAGGGGGCAGAAAGATTTTTTTAAATTAATTTATTTTGTATACAGTGTTATATCTGCACACCAGAAGAGGGCATCAGATCTCATTACAGATGGTTGTGAGCCACTATGTGGTTGCTGGGAATTGAACTCAGGACCTCTGGAAGAACAGTCAATGCTCTTAACCTCTGAGACATCTCTCCAGTCCAGGAAGAAAGATTTTAAGAGCCAGAGAAACAAGAAGTTTGGTGTGAAATTGTGTGTCCTGGACATGTCAGAGGAGCTACACCCATGGAGTTTCACCACTATGGCTGTCTAAGCATGTCCTGAAGGACAGCGGTACCAATAGGCATGCTAACGTGGGAGAGGGAAAGCTCACGCAGTCCTCAACCCTAGACAAAGAGCTACAAGCAACTGGGAATGCCGAGACTAGAATAGTCCTCCCCAGGAAAGAACACACCAATTGCTGCTTATCCAATATCAAACAATCAGCCCTGAAAACATATATATACAAGTGACATTATATGGACTAGGCAGGTTGTATTCATGTATTTAGAAATATATATGTATGTACACACACACACACCAACCATTAGGAGAAAAGAGACCATGAATTTAAAGGGGGTGGGAAGGCAGGTGGCTTCATGGGATGGTTGGAGGGAGGAAAGGGAAGGGGAAAATAATTATGTTATATTATATATAATTATAGTATAATCTCAAAAAATAAAATAATAATAAAAAGGTTCTCAAGCCGGACATGGTGGCTTACACCTTTAATCCCAGCACTCAGGAGGCAGAGACAGTTGGATCTCTTTGAGTTTGAGGCCAGCCTGGGCTACAGAGTGAGTTCCAGGACAGCCAGGGATACACAGAGAAACCCTTTCTTGAAAACAAAAACAAAACAACAGCAAAGATTCTCCTGTGGTTCAGTTCTGAAATGAAGCCTGCAAGTAACCAAGTGGCCATATGGTACCACACACACCAGACAGATGAGATGTGGTGGAACTGTTGTGGCTCGGCATTCCCAGCACTTCTATGGCAAGATGGGGGGTGGAGACAGCAAAATTACCTAGAAGTTTGTGGAAGTCAGCAAAGCTTAAGCAGAAACAAAAGACACCCTGACTTGAAGTTAGGAGAGAACTGTCCTGGATGTTGTCTTCTGACCTCTACATGTGCACTGTGGCACACATGAGTGCACATAATAATAAACAAATTCTCTGAGGTTTCTTTTTGACCAGTGAACTCTTTAGACATGTGTTGTTTAGCTTTGAAAGGTTCAGACATTTTCCCATTATTGTTTTGTCATACATTTCTAGTTTGATTCCATTGTTTAGAGACTGTATTCTGTATGGTTTTAATTCTTTTCAATTTGAGTTTCTATTGCTGTGAAGAGACACCATGACCACAGCAACTCTTATAAAGGACATATTTAATTGTGGTGGCAGCTTACACTTCAGAGGTTCAGTCCATTATCATCATGGCTGGACATAGCAGTACACAGGCCAACATGGGGCCGGAGAAGTAGCTCAGAGTCCTACATCTTACAGGCAACAGGAAGGCCACTCTGTGTCACATTGAACGAAGCTTGAGCAGAGGAGACCTCAAAGCCCACCCCCACAGTGACACACTTCCTCCAACAAGGCCACACCTCCTAATAGTGCCACTTCCTTTGGGGGCCATTTTCTTTCTAACTACCACAGTGTCAATTTTTACCTTGAAAACTCTAAAGCCACTTGGGAGATGGGCCTCTGGGCGTGCCTGTGAAGGATTATCTGGATTACACTGGTTGAATCAATTTGGGAAGACCCATTTGGGTTGGACCATTCCCTGGCCAGGAGACCCTGGCGCTGTATAAAATGAAGAAAGAGAGCTGGATATTAGAATGTATGCATCTGTTGCTCTCTTCTCACTGTGGAGGTGATGTGGCCTGCTTATACAAGCTGCCTTGACTTCCCCTCAATGATGGACTCTACCCTGAACTGTGATCAAAAAGGAACCCTTAAGGTTTCTTTGGTAAAATTTTCTTCTATCACAGCCGGGCGGTGGTGGCGCATGCCTTTAATCCCAGCATTTGGGAGGCAGAGCCAGGTGGATCTCTATGAGTTCAAGGCCAGCCTGGGCTACAGAATGAGTTCCAGGAAAGGCGTAAAAATACACAGAAAAACCCTGTCTCGGAAAAAAAAGAAAAAAAAATATTTCTTCTATCACAATGGAAAACAAAGGATGACAACCCAGGATGCGGTTAGTCTTGGTGCATGGTTTTCAAGCATCTGAAACAAATGTGTGTTCTGCTGTTTCGTGAATCTGCTAGACGTCCATTACATGCTGCGGGCTAATGGTGATGCAGAGTTCTGTAATCTTGCTGATTTTCTGCTTCTTTATTCTTCCCAAAGATGGAAGGGCTATTGAAATCTGTCCTTTCCAATCCAGCGGCCTTTGCTTCATATACTTTACAGGTCTTTTCTTCTGCACGTACGTGTTTAGGACCGCTGTGGTGTCTTAGTGGGGATTGGCTCTTCTATCCTTTCGTAATGGAAAGGAAACCAGGAGAGACATATGAAGGGGGCAGGCCGCATCACGTCCGCAGTGAGAGGAGAACTCTCTCACTAGTGCCAGATGGGGGTGGAAGGCCTGATGCTACCCTGCATGTGGTTTGAAGAAAGGTTATATTTGGGTTTCTTTTTAAGTTTACTTAGATGTGTGTGTTTTTAAATGTGACTGTACACTGTTGGTAAGCCCCCCAAGACATAGAATTTAGAAACATTCATAAACTACACTCTGGTAACCGCTGATAAGGTAACAGACTCACATACCCTTTAACCAAACTGCTGCACTTCTAGGAATTTAGCCTAAAGATACACACACACACACACACACACACACACACACACACACACACACGTGAGTGATGATGTTAAAAGTCAAAGTCCGAAAAAGGTGCACATGCCCTTTAGTAGAAGATTTGTTAAGTAATGGTACAACCCCCCAGGGAGGAATAGTGAGGCAACTATGGTTTTTTTATGCATACCCATGTGTGTGTGTGTGTGTGTGTGTGTGTGTGTGTGTGTGTGTGTGTGTGTGTGTGTGTGACACAGCATTCATGTGGAGGTCAAAAGACAATTTGTGGCAGTGAGTCTCTCCTTCCACCATGTGTGTCCTGGAGACTGATCTCAGGTCGTTAGGCTTGGTGGCCGGAACTGTTCCCCACTGAGCCATCTTACAGAGACTGCCAGTTTTTAATGGGCGACGTTTATTAAGATCAAACAAATTTCAAGGTGTGTTACATAACGAATTCGGAGGAAAAAATGATGTATAGAACAATCGGCCTATAATGCTGTTATTTGTGTAAAAGAAAAGGGAACCACGGGGTCTGGTGGCACACACCTGTAACCCCCACGCTCGAGAGGTGGAGACAGGAGGATCAGAAGTTCAAGGTCATCCTTAGGTATATAACAACTTTGAGGCCAGCCTGGGCTACATGAGATTCTCTCTCAATGTGAGGAGGGGGGATGAGAAACGGACAGACTGGGATTTACCTACGCACACACATGTACCAGGCAGGATACAAGGGACTGTTAACAATGCCAGGGAGGCAGGACATAAGCTCCAGTGACAAGTGGCTGCCGGGTCTCCTTCCTCTCTAAGTCCAAGCTCCCATAATGCCTCTGGCAGGCTGCTGGGCTCCTGACCCCTGGGCAGAGACAAGCTGCCCCTTCCACTTGCCCTTTGTTCGTCCCTTTCAGACATTGAGGTCCCTGTGCCAGGGGTGGAGAGAGCAGGATCCCTGCTATTGGCTGAGGCCTGTCCCAGGCTGTCACTGTGGGTTCACTGGGGGCAAAACAGAGGAATGACGTCTAAGTGTTAAGGACGCCTGCTTCAGGAGATGGGGCTGGACTCTGCCCTTCTGAGATGACCCCCTCCCACCACTGTTCCATCCCTGTCCAGGTACCGCCATCCCCTTCTCCCATAATCCTCTCTTCAGGCCCCTCTTCTATGTGTAAACACCCTCTGAGTCTGCCTAGAGGTGTCTGCTGCCAATGTGAGCATCTTCCAGTCCTTGAAAGAGGATTCCCCTCTGCCTCAGCCCTTCTCTTTCCGATTGCTGTAGGTAGGTGACAGAAGTCCAGGAGCTGCCTTCACAAGGCCTGTGCCACACACCACTGCCCTCTTGTATCCCTCCAGACCCAACCATTGGGAGACAACATCCCTCACCAACCAAGAGTCCTCTCTGAGCTTCAGTCTGTCCGCCTGTAAAATGGGTGTAGATGTAATGGTGTCTGAATGTGTGTATATGGGGTGTATGGGGTACACTTTCATAACTTACCCAATGATGTGTTTGTCCCATTAGGAGAAAAGTCAGAAATGTGTCTAGCTTGGCCAGATGTTCAATCGCCAATGTCCAGTTCAGCATGTGGCACACAGTGTTTGTGAAATGACTCTTCCTGACAGCTGCCCCAACCTCTGTGCTTTCGCTCAGTCTCAGGTATTGCTGGAGATCTGAGTCTTTTTCTGGAGAGAGAGAGTGGGGAGGGGGAGAGACAGACAGAGACAGAAACAGAGACAGAGAGAGAGAGACAGAGAGAAGAGACAGAGACAGACAGAGAGACATACACAGAGAGACAGAGATGTACAGAGAGACAGAGACAGAGAGAGAGAGAGAGAGAGAGAGAGAGAGAGAGAGAGAGAGAGAGAAGAGACAGAGACAGAGACAGACATACAAAGAGACAGAGAGAGATTTTGAAGCTGGGTCTCCTGTAGCCCAGGCTAGTCTTCAACTTAGTAGGTAGCTGAAGGTGACCTTGTACTCTTCTACATAGACTCTGGTTCTGGCACAGGCTAAGAGGCTCATCCGGGGTCCCGAGCAATCCGCCCATCCGTAGGCTGCCCCACCCGGTCACTTCTGAAGTGACGACCCTGCGGAGGAGTGCACTGGGGGTTTGTAACAAGGGGCTTGGACCAGTCTGATGGGCGGGGCCATCTCTAGAGCGAGCTTAGAGGGAAGAAAAACCAAGAAAGCAGATGGCTCTTAGGAAGCCTTAAAAGAGTCCCCTTCCCCTTCCTCTGCCCTGGCCAGGCTTCCTGCGAAGGAGACACCCCCATGCTAATGGCACCCTTGAACCTCAGAAGTCAGCCTTGGTCGGGCTGGAGTCGCCTTAACCCAACTCCACCAGGCGAGGGCGCCCTGCACCCAGCTTTGGCTTCAGCTTGAGGCAACCCCTTCTCAGTCCTGCAGAGTGCAGTTTGGACAACCGGGAACATTCAACCTGACTGCCTGGTATGGCCCTTCCCATAGAAACAAATGGAGGGTGGGGAAGGGAAGAGGGCCTTTCCTTGGAAATGGTCTTTACACTTGTTCTGAACGGACTTAGCCCAGAGCCAGGCGCTAGCTGTGATGTAGCTGAAGTTGTCATTTGTTGGGTACACCTTCGCTCGCCACAGTTTTGTTTTGTTTTGTTTTGTTTTGTTTTGTTTTGTTTTGTTTTGTTTTGTTTTGTTTTGTTTTGTTTTGTTTTGTTTTGTTTTGTTTTGACACAGGATCTCACTGTGTAGGTCAGCTGCCCTGGAATTGGCTATGGTGTAAACCAGGCTGGCCTCGAACTCTCAGAGATCTGCCTGCCCCACCTGCCTCTGCCTCTCAAATGCTGAGTTTAAAGGCATGTATCACCAGACTCTGCCATTCTCCACATTTCTAAACTCTTCAATATGTTTGTAAGGTGCATCCATACCCATTTATAGATGAACAACTGAGGCCCACAGTGGTGATTTGCTCACAAGTAAGAAGCACACACAGGGGCTGGAGAGATGGCTCAGTGGTTAAGAGCACTGGCTGCTCTTCTAGCAGTCCTGAGTTCAATTCCCAGCACCTACATGGTGGCTCACAACCCACCTATAATTGTAGTCCCATGGGATCCGATGCTCTGTTCTGGTGTGCACATGTACATGCAGACAAAACACCATATACATAAAATATGCAAATAAAGAAGCACCCAGGAAGCCAGGCATGGTGGCGCACACCTTTAATCCCAGCACTCAGAGGCAGTCTCTATGAGTTTGAGGCCAGCCTGGTCAACAGAATCAGTTCCAGGACTACACAGAGAGAAACCCTGTCTCCACAAATCAAAATTAATTAATTAATTAATTAATTAATTAACTAACTAAAACAATAAAAGAGGTGCCCATGCTGTTTGACCCCAGAATCCCAGCTAGCATCACACCACAAACTTTTTATTTGAAACTGCCAGATTCAAAGATGCAAAAGGAACAGGACCAAGTCCCTGTTCCCTGGACATTTAACAAACGCGTGTGCTTACACACAAGAACACTCCTACAAAACTCCCTCACACATTCATAAACAAGGTTAGGCAGGGGTCCACCCTTTGCAAGCAGCCCATTTGGTGTGCTTTGTTTTGATGTGGTGTGTGTGGTACACTTGTATATGTGTGATGTGTGCATCTGTGTGGCTCTCTGTGTGTGTCACGTGTATGGAGGCCAGAGGGGGCTATGGAGCATCTTATTTTAGCTCTCTCTGCCTTATTCCCTTAAGACAGGGTCTCACCTCTCTCTCTCTCTCTCTCTCTCTCTCTCTCTCTCTCTCTCTCACACACACACACACACACACACACACACACACACACACACACAAAACCCCTTCTCTGGCTTGGCTGACCAGCAAGCCCTGGCAATCCTCTCCATGTCTTACCACTTCCTCTGTGTTGCTTCGGATTCTCACACAGGTATATACACTCTCTCTACACCCGGCACTAAGGCGGATGCTGGCGGGCACCATCTCTACATTCTTAAGACTCATATGAGTACCCCCAGTGTCTCTTTTATTCAGTGTCACCAGGGAAATTGCTGATCTGCCAAAGAACTTTCCAGTAAGTGAGACTTGCCTCTAAGGCCATATCGTTGGGTGGGGTTGGCAGTTTTGTGAAATGTCTTGTACACACCTCCGGATACCTCACTAGAGTCCTGATAGCTCAAAAGGCTGTGAACTCCTTCAGACCAGAACCCAAAGCCTTGGGACATCTCTTCATCACAGCAGAGCCTGACCAGGGCAGCTACCTGGTCAAGACTTGTAGACAGGAATGGATGACACAAAGGCCGAGCAGAGGTCATAGCAAGGTGGCTCTTGGGATGTTGTCCCCATGGTTGTTTTCTGATGTGGTGGACAAATCAGCTACCACCGCTTCCCTCTTTGATGACTGATATATAAGGTCTCCAGGCCAGCGTCTGCCCCCACCCTTCGTATGCAAACATAAATCCCTCACCACGTTCTCTCTGTGGCCCAGAATCATCTTGATGAGCACAGGTTGGCACACTCTCACTTGCTTGGTACCAATGGAGCGCTTTGCTCTGTACCAGATGTCCTCACTGCAGAACTTTCTGAACGCTTTTGTTAGTCATGATCTGCCTCTTCTTGTCAGCTGTCACTCTTGTTACGGTGAGTCCCCTCTCATTTCCTGCTCCCCTCCTGACAAAGGTGAGCCTCCCCAGTCAAATGTCAAGATAAGATGAGGAGAGACCCTACGGGGAACCCCTGCTATTGCCAATTTCCAGGAACTAAGGTGATTTCTAGACTTGCTCCGGGAACATAGGCAGGGATGGTATTGGGAGTTAAATGGTGGTCCTCTGCCTAAAGATGCTTCTAGCATTTGTGAATGTGGCCTTACCTGGAAAAAAAAAAAGAACTAAATCCAAATTTAAATGTCCTTATAAGAAAAGAAAGGGGAAAGAATCACAGACAGTGGAGAGTCACACAGTGAAGAAGGCAGAGCTTGGAGTTATGCATCCACAGGCCAAAAATGCCAACTTTATCAGCTACTTTGGGTATCTTCAGTTCTCTCCAACTTTTTTTTTTTTCTTTTTTGAGACAGGGTTTCTCACTGAACCAGGAGCTTGCTGGCTCGGCTGTTCTAGCCAGCCAGCCCTGGGCCTGCCTGTTTCTGCCTCCCCAGTGCTGGGGTTATAGGCATGCACTTGCATCCGTGGCCTTTAATTTATTTTTATGTTTATAGGTGTTTTGTCTGCATGTATGTCTGTATATCATGTGCATGCCTGGTGCCTGCGGAGCTCACAGGGGACATTTCAGAATCAAACAGTAACACCAAGGCCTGCCAACAGTCACCAGAATTAGGAGAGAAGCTTG